TGCTGCTCCACTCTACGGGGAAGCCAAGGCCCTCAAGTTCCCAAACTGCCGCTTTAGCACAGACAGAGGCCAGCAAGGCTGGTTTAATCCCAGAACACCCAAACTTCCCAGCGCCCAGTGGGGCAGGCTTAGTGCTTAGTGCTTTGCCCCCTGAGATGCCCTGTTTCGGCCCAATTTGGCAATGAAGCCGGGCCTTGCCCGCTGCGGCTGGCATGGTGATGCAGCAGAGACCGCCAGTCCTAAGCTCACAGCAGCGTGTGTGAGAAGGGACAGTCTGTTTCTGAATACAGTTAAGTCCCCAACTCACGAACAAGTTCCAGCAGAGTGACTCTGGTACAGCACACCTGTGAAAGTTCGCAACTCCAGCGTTCACAAGCGGGGCACTTCCTGGACAGGGTTTTCCCTGTAGGCTTGGGAGTGGCCAGGCAGAAGGAGGTATCCTAACTCGATGCCTGTTCCCAGCAAAGACAGCACGGGAGATGCCAGAGGGGAGGAAAAGCAGTGTGTCTGTCGTGCGTGAGGGACCCCAGCAGGGGTGGGGGGGGCGCTGACTGTTCCACTCCCCCTCAGGGGCCCGCTGCAGCCAGAAACAGAGGAGCTCGCCTGGCTGGCTCCACGCCCCCGGGGCAGGTGCGCTGTGTGGAAGTTCTCTCCCACCCGCCTTGCCCGCAGCCCCTCAGGCTGACTACACAGGGGCACACAGGCCTAGTGAACGTCCTTCTTACTCTTGTGTATTTGCAGCTGCTGCAAAGCAGAACGTCTTGCATCATGCCAGCAGCCTAAACAGAGAGGGCCCTTCCGTGGGCGAGAATGCACAGGCTAGGAACAGACAGCGCAGCCCCAGGGGCGACTCTGCTCTCTCTCTGACCCTGCAGCAGACGCCAGTCCTGAGGCCCTGCAGCTTCTGAGCCCGGGCCCAGGGTCTGCCCGGGCAGGCCTGCACTTCCCCGCCCCGACCCTCCAGCAGGAAAAGGGGAAGGAAAAGAAAAACTCAGAAACCTGAAGATTGTTTGGAATTTATTCTCTTAAAACAGGAACGTAACATTTGTCAAAAGAAAAATTTAAAAGCACAACACCTTGGTTTCACAGTAACGGCAAACACAAAGTTACACAATTAAATAAAAACTCACAAAGAAACACGCGGGACACTCACAACAGCACAGGTTAAAAACAAGGGCAAAAACAAAGGCTGTCGGGAAGGTTAGAGGGGACAGGTGATGTGTTTTTTTGCACAGCTAACTCTCCCTTGCTCCGGCGTCTCTGCACTGTTGCCATGGGAATCTGGTTGCTGCCGTCTCCTCTTGCCCCTCCCCCAGGTGAATGACTAGAAAGGGGAGGACCCCCCCGGGAAGGCCTGAGAACGTACTGTCCAGTAGAAAGCGACTAAAGACAGCAAACACCAAATGACGGCAGGCAGCTGCAACAAGCAGCCCAGCAGGGGCAGCGCAGGAGCCCAAGAACAAACTCAAGGGAAGGTGGGGATCTGGTTCTCTATTGACGCTGCCAGCAGCAAACTCCTGCCTCCCCGGTTTGCTCCTGAATCAATTATCAGACCTTGCAGGGCTGTACTGCTCTGAGATATCCACTCCCAACGTCCCCACCCCCTCATGTGTGCTGTTTCCGAGCTGCTGTGGTCCCTAAAACCCTGAGCCAGCTCAAAGGCGAAGTTCCCAGTGTCAAAGCTCCATGTCCAGAAGGATGGAACACGAAATTTTAGAAACAGCTTTTTTATTACTACTTAGGGTATAATAAATAAATATCTATCCTGATCTGTGAAATGAGCCCTATATACATATACGTAACACTTATATATTACTATAGACTCAACTACGACTCTGAAGGGGCTTGGGGAGGTAGGCTGGATTGCAGAACTCTCTCTGCTTGGTTTTCCAGAAATGCCTACGAGGAAAGAGGACTCGGGTGGCAGTAAGATTTCCTAACTTTCCTCTGTTAGGCAAGAACCCCAGGGCTGAAGGAAATTCCTGTATTGCTTGAGTGACTTTTAGCTGGTGTGAGCAGTGCCTGTGTGTTCAGCCTGATCAGGATCCAAACTATGGAAGCCAATGCAAGCCAGTACAAGGGGTGTGCGGGGACAGAGGCCAGGCACTGCCGCTTGCAACTTGGCAGCTTCCTGACTTGGCTGATGAACTCTGAGGGAAGCTCTGTATGGCGCCCCCTAGCCCCTCCTCTTCACTTTTTGTTGTAACGAGGGAATTCCTCTAGGCAAGAAGGGTCCCCGACACCTGCAAGGGAGGGCCTCACGTCCACAGGGAGAGGAATCTCGCCTGCTGCCGTCCACTCTTCCTCAAAACAGGCACTACGAGGCCAGGTAAGGGAATCTGTGCCAGGTCCACTGACCCACAGCAGCGAGTACACAAAACTTGGGACACAGCATTTACAGGCTTGAGGACAGAAACGGCGGTTTCTCTATTAAAAGCACATTACAAACACAAATACTGTAAACAGTGTCCCCCGCCCACCTGATTAGCCAGCAGTTACAGATTAGGTTACCAGAAAAAGACAATACATTAAACTAGGCCTACAGTGGGTTCTTCTAACTTGTGGGTTATGCTGGTTTTGGTCTGGGGCGGGGGGAGGGGTTGTCATGTTTTTGGGAAACAGCAGTCATTTTGGCATAAGGGGAAAGAACACAAGGGAAAACAGAAATGCCCTAAGAAGAGGCACAGAGCAGAAGCACGGCAAGGACAAACACCCCGGGTTACCAGGCCCGGCCCAGCAGCTCGGTTCAGTCACACATGACAGCCCCACCCATCCGCAGCCCTTCTGGTCTAGTGTGCCGTGGAGGACATGGACCAGGGGTCTGGGCTCATGACTGCTCCCTGTCCCACGGTCTGGAGCCCTCCGACACCTGAGCTTTTCTGAAGCCTTTCCAAAAGAAATTCTAGTTGAGGAACCAATGCTTTGGTCTGGGATTTTTTAAAAAAGCAATCTCTACCAAAGGAGCAGAGAAATCTGTCATGGAAACTACAAACCACCACACCGGGTCCCTTTTCTACAGAGGCTGGCACAGCTTCGTTCCCAGGGAAAGCGCCAGGGCTCCGAGCTGCAGCTTCCAAAGCCTCGTGTCTCCAGAGCAGACGTAAATCCTGTCATCCCTGAGCTTTCGGGCCTCCCTGGCTCACTTTAGGGGTTCAGCCTGGGGTACCTTTGGGAGACTACACTGCGAGCCGCTGGAGTAGGCCAGTCACGTTCTAGGTCAGAGTCAAGAACCCCAGGGACGGAAGTGTCCTCAGGGTGCTGTCTTCTGTCCTCTGTCTCGTTTTGATTTTGTAATCATGCTGCCAGTCCTCATCTTTTTCCTCAGCTTTGTAGAACATTCTTCATCTCTATGGAACCCTAAATCCTTTCGAATTCCCAAAAGCTGAAGTCCGTTATGCCTTTCAATCAGACAGAAATGCGATCTGAAGCTGACAGGAAAGCGAGCAAACTCGGTTTGTTCAGAAAATAACCGAATTTCACTGCATCTCTTTTAAAACTGTTATTCCGTACCTCTCACTCAGAAGTTTCATTTCTTTGTGTTGCTTAAGTGAGCAGGCAGATCCCTTGGAAAACCCGCCTGTGCTGCAGGGAGCAGCGCTCTCACCTGATCTCACATCACAGTGGAAGACAACGCTGTGCCTAGGTCCCTGCCGTGTTCTCTGACAGCAATGCCCCCAACCATCCCCTGCAGGGGGTGGTCAGCACCTCCTGAGAAAGACCACGAAGCCTGCAGACTGTGCCAGTCACTCATGGCGTAAGCATGGCTCTCAAATGTGGGTTCCACCTTCAGGGCACTCAACGAACGTCCTCAGAGTATAGTCAGTACGCTCGTATGGGAGTAGAAGCCGAGCTCACCCTGCTTGGCCAGGTCTCAGGCTGCCAGGCAATGCCACTGGGACTGTCACCCAGTGGGTTTGGTCTCCTCTCCCACAGCCAGCGCTGCAGGGCTCAATTTCCTTAGCATAAGGGAAAAGAAGCCCGAGAGAATGCCTCCCTCTTCTATCATGGGAAGTCCACTACCCACTTTCTCTCCATGGCTTCTGGCACCGGTTGATCATGCTCTATGTGTTCACAAATGGCTGCGTGAGGTATACTTGCTGGGGACGAGAGGAAATGTGTGACAAACACAAACACGGCCTCGCCAGCTTCCTGTGAGCTACACAGCAACCCTGAGCTGTGGATCACCTGGAGTTATGCTCGGGCCCCAGGGGTTTGCACAACTGTGGACTCACTTCACAGGCTGGTTTACGAAGAGCCGAGCGGGGCGATTTAAGGGAAAAAACAACACTGTTCTCCTCCAGAGGCTTCAGCTCCTGCACCATCCCAGGCCTGCCCTGTGTGTCTTGGAGACAGAATGATGCCACAGGAAGTGGGACTGACACTGGGACAGGGAGAGCTTGACCCTCACTGGAAACTCAAATGCCCCATGAGGTCAGGACAGAGCATGTCCTTTAGCTTATCCAGACACCTAGCTAGGGGAAGGGATGCAAAAATGTCAAGTTCCGCTGAACGCAAATTCAAACCACAGGGCCTCACTAAGCATAGCTCTTACGCTCCGCCACAGAAATCCTAAGCAGGACCCACCAGGAGGCCTGGCTCCTCTGGACTCTCCCGTGGGTCAGTGACCACAGCAGCTTTCTTTGCATTCCTGTTTAAGCACCCAGTGTGTCTGTGGGAGGTGGGGAGGGGCTACAGCGACCACACCCGGATACGTATTGCCTGCACTTAGGTGACCCCGCTTACCACAAGGCCCCCTCACTGGCTCACAGCCTGCCAGTGAAACTCCCCTCCGATCTGCACCAGCACCTCTGACAGGCCATAGAGAAAGGGGACCCCGAACGCAAGCAGCTGGCACATGAAAAAGGAGTCCAAAGGGTTCTGAGCCACCTGGCGCCCAATTGACGAAAGGTTGCTTTGGAGGTGCTGGCTCATCCCCTTGGCCTTGTCACAGAGGCCGAGAGAGTGACGCACCACCCAGTCAAACAAGCAAGTGAGGCTACCTGAAGTTCTCTCGGCTGAGCTGGCGACGGTGCGGGCCCGTCCGTTTGCGTCTGCACCAGGGCCATCCTGCAGGGGTCCTTTGGCTTCCTAGGAAAGTCCACAGAAAAGAACAGTGACTGACGGAGCCCTCACTCCAACTGGCTAGTCTGTCTCTGTCACTCAGGGCTGTATTCTTTGTACAGTAAGTCTTTCTTTCTTCTTCTTCCTTTTTTTTGGTACTGGGAATCGAACTCAGGACCTTGCACTTGCCAGGCAGGCACTTATGCCACTGAGCTATATCCCCAGCCCAGTAAGTCCTTCTTTAAAGAAACAGGGATATACATCACATGAAAGTCACTAGAAGTCAAAGTCTAGACCACCTAAGTATACAGTTGAGCCTCAGTATCTGTGGGATTGGCTCCAGGACCCCCACGGTAATGCAATCTGTGGATGTGCCCGTCTTTTTTATTTTCGTACCAGGAAGTGAACTCAGGGCCTTGCACTTGCTAGGCAGGCGCTGCACCACCAAGCCACATGCCTGGCCCGAGTCCCTTATATAAAATCGCACCACGTTTGTGCAGAACCCATGCACACCCCTGTATCCTTCAGATCGTCTCCATTGCTGGTGAAATCCACAGCTGCGGAGCCCAGCACACGGGGCCGACAGTGTAACTTGGCCCACAGCCCCTCTGTTGTCCACAGACCCTTAAAGGGAGCAGTGATCAGCCTGCACACTGACAAGGCGCTGTCCCCGTGGTGAAGTAAGTATTCAAGTCACCTGGACAAAGAGGATCAGAGAAGCCATTCTTACTGAAAAACAAGTAAGAAAGAAAGGCCCCGGACAAGTAACTTGCAGGATGAAGGAACCGGGGCCTAGCAGGGAGGGCAGCCACAGCAAGCTCCTGGGCAGACAGCAGAACTGTCTGTGGCTCCCGAGTGCCTGTGGCTGCCTGAGGGGGGCGCTACAGAAGTGAAAGGGACTCTGGCTTAGGGTGCCTCTTCTCCTGCATGGCCACCCTTGAGAACACTCTAACCGTGTGAAAAAGGACACAGCCAGCAAGCTGTCCTCCTTTCAGGAAAAGGGCTTGTTGACAGAGGCAGCGCCTTCTCACAGCGAGCAGAAGGGAGGATCAGTGCAATCCCCTCAGCCCAGCGCAGGTGGGAGGAAGGGCGTTACTTAGGGAAGTCTGTGCTTGGAAAGCCAGTTACCCTCCCTGACAGACTGGAAGGGCATCTCGGGCCCGGTAGGCAGGCGGCGCTCTGAAGAAAAGGCCGTGCGCCGCTGGGCGGCCCTGACCTGCAACCACAGCAGCGTGGCCGCCACTGCTTCTCTTCCACTTACGTGAAGGATGGCCATACCTTTCCAGACAGAGGAGCCACTGCTGGCCTCTTCCTTTGTGCGTAGCCTGAGAGTCGGTAACAGTAGTGCGGTTTACAGTAGAATTTACCTGCGGAAGCAAGAAGAGGGGGGAAAAGGGTGAGTAGGACTCTTCCTTCCGACCTGGACTCGCCGGTCTCGGCACACTCCTGTCCACCTCCTGCAGCCGCAGGGAGCCATCACTACCACGCCAGCCCTCGCCTGCGGGCCAGGCCCCGCTTTCCCGTCCGGGGAGGCCAGTCTCTCCCTCTGAACTTTGATTCCGCAGTGGGGGTGGGGAGGCACCCTTTCCTTTGGGTCTGTGAAGGCCATTGAGCCGTTACCCAATCAGTGCCCAGGGCAAGGATGTGAGGCATGCATGGCAGGGCCAGTGAACAAAGTGGCAGTGTGTGCAGAACAAAGATGTGGTCACATGAAAGCTGGGCGCAGCAAGGCAGGGGAGAGCAGGAGTGGACACCAGGGTGGGGTGGAGGCGTGAAGGCTGCAGGGGCGGGGTGGCCCTGAGCGTTAACTCTGCCAGGACCTCCGCTGCTGCTGCTGCTGCTCTAAGACTCCTGCCCTCTCCACCACCTGCCAGCCAGTGTGGGCCCACAGCGGTCACCACCCTCCAGCGGTCAGGGCCAGCAGTACAAAGCAAGGCAACAGCAAAAGTCTGCAGTGCACCGAAAGAGTCGAAGAAATTATACCGAGTACGAACCACAGTGCCCTATGACATAAAGTTAAATAGTAATCTGTGTCCTACTGAAGTACATTTCCTACAGACAGAGTGTCAAGAAGGCTTGAAAAACACCAACCGTAGCTTTTCCAATGTCACTAGTGCTGGGATTAACTAGGAGCTATTTTCTCCTGATTCTTTACTCTCACTTAAAGAGGTAAGGCTTCTGAACATTAAGTGATAGGCCTTGTTATAGAAAGTGTTGGGACCGGGCATGGTGACGCACACCTGTAATCTCAGCACTCAGGAGGCTGAGGCAGGAGGACTGTCCCAAGTCTGAGGCCAGCCTGGGCTACAAAGTTCAAGGCCAGCCTGAACTGCATGGAGAAACCCTGCCTCAAAAAGACACATACACAAAGTTTTGGAACAGGAATCATCCTATTTCATCCTCTCATTTGTAGGTAATGATCCTTCAGCAAATAAGCTTTCTGATGTCACAGTTAAAATGAGACACACAAGTTAAAATAAGGGGAGCTGACGTCCTTCCTTTTTCCCTTTCCCTAGCAATCCGACTCTAGCTTTTCTTTTTTCAGAGTAGCTGACTTGTTTTACTCTTTTACCTGCTTTTCCCCATCAATGCTGAAGGAACCTTTTATGGAAGTTCATAAACTTCAAGTAACATTCATACCATGCTATATGTTTTCCCAAAAAGAATTTTCACTAGGTGCTTGCACGTAACCAGAACTTGGAAACATTGCTGCTGTTGTTGGGAATGCCGGACAGTCAAGGGACGGTCATCTCACTGCCTACTTCTCTACAATGGAAGGTGAGCCAAACACTTCTCATTCTTTAGACTACCCTCAATTTCCTTTACAACCTGTAACAAGCCACTTTGCTCTTATAAATTTTGATCACCAAAAAATAGGTCAAGATCAAATGTATTGTTAGTACTTGGATGATATACTTCTTTTAGGGTCTGTTTTATCTCATACTTTAAGAAATAATCCTCCTTCCTTAATGTGGTCCTGAAGGGCGCTATCACCCACGTGCCTGACATTACCCTACCACCAGGCTGTCAGTCAGAAACCCCTGTCCTGTCCTCCACCCGAGCCTGGGATATGGGCTCTAGGAATTGGCCGGTGACTAAAGTAGCCAACCAGAGCTATTCTAGGGGGCTGCTGTGCACGGTGAGGGGGAAAGAGCAGGTTTCCTCGTGACTACTATCTGCAAGGGAGACACACATCGAGGGCTTAAACTTTGTGGTTTTTTTTTTGGTTTTTTTTTTTTTTTGGTTTTTCTCCAGTACCGGGAACCGAACTCACGACCTTGCACTTGCCAGGCAGGCGCTTTTGCTGCTGAGCTAAATCCCCAGCCCCGAGGGCTTAAACTTTAATGTGTGGTCCTGTTACTTGTCACCAAGAGTCTTACTGATTACAGTATGTGTGAACTACAAGCATTCATTTCATTTCTTCCTTCTCTTTTTTCCTGCATTAACTTATTTTTTCTACAACAGCAGAAACCTAGGTTTTTTTTTTTTTTTTTGGTCTTTTTGAGACAGGGTCTCACTATGCAATTCAGGCTGGCCTTTCGCTCACTTTGTAGCCCAGGCGGGTCTTAAACTTGCAACGATCCTCCTGCCTCAGCCTTCGGAGTGCTGGGATTCCAGGCGTGCACCACCACGCCCGGCTGAACCTAGATGTTAAGATATAACTCAACTGAACTTGAGTGCATCTTCTCGGAACTGCTCTGACACCCTAAATTATCAGCAAAAGAGGGTTAGGTTTCAGAACTTCTGATGTCTTGTAAACCTACCCAAGGGTAATTCTTAGGAAAACCACTTTCTCTAGGAAGGCCGGCAACAGCGCGCCAGGAGCTCAAGGGCTGAAAGTGGAGCTCAGCTCAAAAGCTAGGCACCCACTCGGCACCTGTGATTACAGAAAATGAGCAGCGCCACCTCCCAGGCCGGGAAACGGACGATCTCACGCGAGTGTAGGCCCCACCCAGGCACCTTCCCACTCTCCTCCCAAACTCAGCTCAATGGGACTTTCCCTTTTTCAGATAAAAGATCCAATTTTTATCTAATATTTACCTTGCGCCAGATACTCTATTATCTGTTTTGCAGCTACCAACTCATTTAATCCTCACTCAATGCAGTGAAGTAGCTTCGGTTATTATCTGCCTCTTCCCAGCTGAGACTCAGGGAGACTGAGCAACCCTTCTGCCCAGAGGGTCCCAGAGTCAGTCTCAGATCTGAACCTCAGAAGCTGGCTCCAGAGCCGGTACAGTGAGCTCCTCCATCGCAAAGACAGTTACTACAAATTAACTACAGTTTATGGGTGATTCAGTTACGTGACCAACTGGAGATGGTCTCAATGAAGCAATCTTGATAATTAAATGGGGGAGTGGCTGCAAAAGGACTCGGAGGAAACAGATGTCTGTCAGGCAAATGAGGCAAAGGGCCTTTCCTCCATTCACTCAGCCACCCGCTGAGTGCCAGGACGGGACAGCTATGATCTAGTTGCCGAGGGCCTTCCCGTCAGGACAGCGCTCTGGGGAGAGCAGCCAACGTGTGACTAAACGTCTGAGGACGGTGAATGCCGTGTGGGGGACTAACAAGGCGGTGTGACCGAGACTGGGCTGCCATGCCAAACCCGAGGTCTGCGAAGGGCCTGAGGCTGGGGCCTGTGCGGATGGGAAGGCCAGGAGGCCAGCCTGCAAAGGCAGGAAGGTGCTGCTGAGGGGACGGCCCCCTAGAGCCAAGTCCCAAGGCAGCAGCAGCTCTAACACGATCATGGAGTGGAAGAGAGACCAGCGTGAAGGGGGACGGTATTGAGCGGCGGGCAGGTGACAGCAGAGGGCTTGGGTAGCCACGCGGAGCTCTCCCCAGGACAGGGCTGGGAGTTCCATGGCTGCTGCTCTGCGCACCAGGGAGGACGCAGGGCACTGGTGGGCTCTGACTGACACCTCCGTAAGGTCCTCGAGTTGCTCTGTGGAAACAGACTACAGGGTCAGTGGTGGAGGCAGAAGACACAGTGGCTGGCCCAGGCGGCACCGGCATCAGCAGCTTGTCTCTCCTGGGGGCGTTACAGACCCCTCCAGCGGGAAGTCTGCTTCCTCCCCTCAAGACCAGAGGGAAAAACCTGACACACTAACTCTGAGCCCTCCTCTGAAGAGTCAGCTGTGATGAAAACCGAGCTCCTCGCGAAGGGGAGAGCAGCTTGGTTCTGGCAGAGTCGGCAACCTCAGAAAGAGCAGACGGGAGGCCTGCACGGAGACGAGGGCAGATCACACACCCGCCACCAAAGCACAGGAGCTCCGCTACCACTGCGGGGCTGCAAAGGGCTCGGAGCCACCTCAGAGGTCACCGAATACAAACCTGGCATCTCTCAGCTGGAATGTACCTCAGAGGTCACTGAATACGAACCACTTTGTAAATGGGGAGGGGAGAGGAGTGGGAAAAAAGAATCAAGTTATAGCACGTACAGGTACAAATTCCCTATGATGAGTGTGATCCGTTTGTACATCTAAAATGTGCTAACAAAATCTGATTGAAGAAAAAAAAAGAAGGCAAACCAGCACTTCTTAGCTGCGGAGACTTGAACAAGCAACGTAGAAATTCTCCAAACTTGGTTTCTAATTTGTAAAATTGTAATAATAAAAACAGTTACCGCAGGGAGTTGTTGGGAGTGCAAAATGACACGCTAAGTGTGCCAGGGCCCAGTTCAACACCTGTCGTATTTCTCTGCCCTGGGCTCCAAAGATATCCAGGCCTTTTTCTTTTCTTATCTAACGCACCTCGTTTAGACTTCTGAAGCCCTCAGTAACAAGATAGGTGCTTGTGCCACTGAGCTATATCCCCAGCCCAAAACTGTTGTCATGGCTGAACAATGGGGTAAAATTTTAGTGTCCCTGAAACTCCACTCTTTCCCAGAGTCCATGTGCCTCTAACAGCTGGGGGGACTTCGCTAAGCTGACAAAAACTCTGAGTCTTGGGGAGCTGGTATAGGCCCGCCGGCACCCCCGCTCTCGTGTCTAGAATAATGCACTTGGTGGGCCGGCCTCGTTCCACGCCAGCCTTGTGGCCACTGCCTTCAGGTGCCTGTTGTCTGGCCTCTTGCCTAAAAAGCCATCTCCTTCCTCTGCTGTCCAGTTCCCACTCCTCTCCCAGAGACTTGCAGAAGACAGTTAAACTGCTCTTCTTTTTGTTTTGTACTGTTTTTCTGAGACAGGGTCTCATCATACAGCTCAGGCTGGCCTTGAACCCAGAGCGATCCTCCTATGTCAGCCTCCCAGGGGCTGGGGTTTCAGGCACGCGCCACCACGCCCAGTATTCCAGACTGCTTTTTTTGTTTTGGTACCGGAAATCAAACTCAAGACCTCAGGCTTTCCAGGCAAGCGCTTATGCTGCTGAGCTACATCTCCGGCCCGCCAAACTGCTCTTGAACGTTATTACCTTCCTTGTCTGAACTTCTGTGGAAGTTTAGTGTACACTATGGGACTCGGCCCTAATCCCACACTCTTACACTGCTGCACTTTGTGTGTGCGGGCCTTGTTCTCATCAGAACATGCTGTGGTGTGGATCGGGAATGTCCCCTAACGACCGTGGGGTAAACACAGTCGTGGTTTTGGGGGCGGTACTACTGGGAGGTGGTGAGCCTTCATGTCGTAGGGCCTGGTGGGAGGTCTTTAGGTCGCTGGGGGCATCCTTGAAAGGGATTGTGAGGCCAGTCTCAGTCCCTTCTCTTCCTCTTTGGCTCTGGGGCAAGGAGGTAAGTTTTCTCCATTACAGACTCCTGCTATGATGGGATGCCTCATCACAGGCCCGAAGCAACAGGGTCAACTGATTATGCACTGAAACCTCCAAAATTGTGCGTCCAAATAAGCCGTCTTTTTCTCTTGGTGGTACAGGGGACTGAACCCAGGGCCCTCTTACTATATGCCCAACTCCTTCAGTTTTGAGACAGGGTCTTTCCAACTCACTAAATTGCCCAGGCTTGCCAGGTGTGGTGGTTCATGCCTGTAATCCCTGTACCTGGGAGGTTGAGGCAGGAAGATTGCTGTTGAGTTTGAGGAAGCCTGGCTCCATAGTGAGTTCAAGGCCAGTCTGAACTACATAGTGAGACCCTGAGGGGTGGTGGGAGGATTGTCCATGAGATTACATGTGGGGTTACATGTGTTATCACACCCAGCAACCTTTTCTTTTTGTAAGTTCCTTTTCTTTTTGTAAGTTCCTTTTCTCAGGTATTTTGTTATAGTAACAGAAGGCTGACTCACACAAATGTAAGCTCCTGGAGGCACACTGATATTTCATCTATATCCCCAGGAAAATGTAGCAAAGATGAGCACATATCCACGGACAAAATTACCTATGGACCAAAAAGTCCCTGCGCCTGAGGGACCTTTTCCCCCTAGGCAGATCCCAAGGTAAAAGGGATAAGGCTAAAATAACCTAAGCATTGAAGACAGTTACAAGAGATTGGGGAGCTCCATCTGCAACCCTCGTCCTTGGAGTCAAAGATGTGACCCAGGGAGCAAGAGTGTAGGAAAAGTACAACAGAGGATTTGTTTTTACAGTGTTGGGGAATTGAACCTCAGGCCTCACGCATGCTAGGCAGTGTCTTTACCACTGGGCCATGCACTCAGTCCTCAACAGAAAATCTGATACCTAATGATTTGTCTTCCTCCCCTAAACTTTTTTTTTTTTGGTACCGGAAATCAGACTCGGGACCTTGTGCTTGCCAGGTAGGTGCTTGTGCCACTGAGCTATATCCCCAGCCCAAAACTGTCTTATTCTTCCCCGCTGAGTGACATCCTTTACGAATATGTTAAGAGCACCATGTGCAATGATAAGAATCAGCCCTTCTCAGTTCACCATTCTAGGCTCCTTGTGACACAGCTGTTTCTTCACTACCAGCAAGACTGAAATTACTCCTAATTGCGTAGGGTCCCGTTCTTATATGACATCACCTTGCAATTTTCTCATTAAAAAAAAAAATCACCTATTAATGTAACGGATAACGTCATTCCCATGAAAAGGTACTTTGTCTCCTCTTAATCAAGGTCTCTTGTTTCTTTTGAGCCAGTAAAATGCCTCGCATGCAGCTCCCTCTGCATCTTACGGGGGTGGAACTGAGTCATCCCGGCCCTAGGTCCCCTATTTCTATTAACCTTAAGGTCTTCAGACGGACGGAACCCGCCCACCCCTATCAGGCCCTGGTGTTTGTTTGCACACCTCTCTGCCCTGTACCCCACCAAAGTCTTCCCACTATTAAAAAAAAAAAAAAAAGCAAATGTCATAAAAGGCCAGGCCTTGAACACCACCGCACATCAGACTGAGGCCCCCGGCATGGGTCTCTATTCCTAAGGCACAGGGTATTTAGACGCTGGTGTCAGCGGGGAGGCAGCAATACCAGGCATATTTCAGTCAGCTTCAAGAGGCAAAAGTCTGAGAAGCCGGGGCCTGGAATCTCGTCTGAGTTTACTGTCATCCACCGGAGGCAGCAAACGTGACTCCTGTGGATCTGTGGTCCATTTCCACACGACAACAGGACGTCGTCCTAACAGTGTCCTTTTCATCGCAATCTCCCCGTGAGGGGAGACAGCCAGTGACTGGGAGTCAGGGAAATGACGCAGATGGCACACGCCATCCTCCCTGGGTAGTCTGGTGACTCAAAGAGTGCAGGGGGAGGCGGGACAGGGGTCGGAAGAGGCACACGGAGAACCTGCACACGGAATGCAGCCTCGGCCCCTGGAGCCCTGCTCGGGCGGACAAAATCGGCCCGCGCTCCCTTCCAAGTGTGGGCTGAGGCGCAGAGACTCACCGTCCTCGATGTCGTAGGCATAGGCCGAGAGGCGCAGGGTGGTGGCACAGTACTGGCACTTGAAGCAGCTCCGGTGGAAGAACTTGCCCTCGGCACTAAGCCTCTCCATCACGTAGACCCGCTTCTGGCAGAAATAGCAAGAGTCGCTGCCCCCCAGGTTCTGCGGGAACTCCTTCTTCACGGAGCCCTGCGGGGAGGAAGGTGTCAGGGCAAGGCCTCCTGGGCTCCCTCCCAGAGCTGCACAGCCCCTCTGCGGGTGCTTTTATTTGAAGCAAGTATCAGCCGGTTGCATCCGCCCTCCTTTGGCTCTCCCAAAGGGTAACGGTCCTCTTGCAGAAGCTGTTCACAGAAGCCCCTCCTGAGAGCTCTCGGTGGTGCAAGGTGCAGTCTGAAGCAGTGTTGATGACAACCAAGATTTGTTCATAACCGTCAAACCAAACTACTCTGACACAATTCTGCATATACACATACTCAGTACTGTAATATACACATACTCAGTACTCGTAAGTATAGAAATGCGTCCCCTGTGCGCGCTAGAGTGATCACTTTTAGTAAAACTAAGTGCTTTTCCGCGTAGCATTTTAAACATCTAATACAGTTTTGGCATTCAGTTATCAAAATTCAAACAACTTCAAAAAAAAGAAAAATTACCCCACGGCAACACAAGCGGCCATACACGTTACTAAGCTCCTTAGAACAAGCGAGAGGCTGGTGGACCACCGCGGTGTCAGGGCTAGCGACAGTGCCCTTGGGGTCGCTCTTACCAGTTCCTTCTTGTCTAGAAGGGCTTTGGGCTGCTCTTTCCTTTGCAGCTGATTGGCTATCTGCTCAGCCAATGAGCTCACTCCGCCCGTGTACATCTTTATATACTTCTATGGGTTGGAGAGTACAGAATGACCACAATGAAGGGGAATGAGAAGGAAAAATAAACAAATTAAGAAGGAAAAAAAAAATCTTTGAAAGGTGTAAAATGAAAACAGTGCAGCAGCAAACCGTGCCAACACAGTGCCCAGAAGCAGGGAGTGGGGAGGTGAGCAAAACACTGCATGGTGTCCCCTGGGGCCAGCACAGGAGGGAGCTGCGGCTGGGGACTCACGGCCTTCCACAGGGCAGAACTGCGTCTTTCACATCTCTTGTAATATACAGCTCTGGGACTTCTGGGGAGGGTGAAGCCAGGATGGATGCAGAACAGAATGAGTGACTCAAAATATACAGACAGTTCAAAAGGAACAATTCCGAGGGGGTGGCAGAGGCCCAGATTAACCTATTTCAAGGTACGGGAGAGGGCCTGGCAGGTTCTTCTCTCATGTAGAAAGAAACCAAGCTCAGAGTTGCAAAGGCTGACTCTACTTGAGTACCTCATCGAGCTCCAATTTCTCTTGACCATGAGGCCTGTCTTATGTGAGGGCACGGGCCAGCTCCGCTGGGAGTTGCCTCTCCGCCCGTCTTCTCTGCTGGTATTTCATAGGGTTTGAGAGCAGCACAGTGAGACCCCTGGGATGCACCCAGGCTCTAAAGCCAGGCCCTTCTAGGCTGGGCGGAGAATCTCAACCACAGGCTACAGCTGTGTAGACAGTAACTCCATTAGACCCAGGAAGTCAGAATGTGTTTCTAGTCCAGGAGAAATTCCTCTATAGGTTGAAACAAGGTAAAAGAAAAGAAAACAAAGAGAGATCCAACCAGTTCATTTCTCTTCCTGGCCATGTTGAAGAAGTAACAGGAGAAAACTGCCAAGTTTGCATGGTGAACCTTCCTACTCACACCAAGACCTGGCACCAGGGCTGCCAGCTCTGCAGCATGTCCTGGGGTGCTGGCAAAGCCTTGGTGGTAGTCCCTTAGAGACTCCACGTCTAGGTCAACTTCCCAACACATCTGGCCGTGATACATGTGTGTACCACGCCTTCTATACACGATGGACGGGGGAGCCGCTGCTAATTCTGACCCACACACCAGAAGCAGTTATCTTGGCAATGGGAACGGCCCCTTAGGAAGTGTGTGGATGGACCAGCACACGGAGCCATGTGTAACAGTACCGCTGGCCTGAGCGAGGGCGTATCGGGACTGGGCAGGGACAAAGAGAAGTACTCTGGGGGGAGGTGAGCCAACTCTACACACATCTAGGAACAACAGAAGCAAAAACAAGAAAATAATTCTCGCTTGGCCCAGTCTAAGGGTTAGCTAGAACTGAGGAATCGATTATATTTTCCAGTTTAAAAATAAGATCTCCAAGGACTGGTGCAACTTGCCCATTAACTCGCAGATTATATCCATTAGTGCCGAGGAAAACAAATGGCTCTTAAGATAGTAAGCCTGTCTTAGCTCGGGGATTGTGGAGGAGCCTAGGCCTGTGGAGACACCGGGCAGAGCGCAGCACATCACTTCATAGGTGACACCGAGGGAGCAGAAGATGCCATTTCTTTCATTCTGCAGCGGACAAGTGAGAGTGCGGACCAGACATCACACGTGAGGCTAGGAGACTGTGCACCTCAACCAGAACCGGGCACCCTCAGAGCGACAGCCGGGGCTGCCGCGTGCAAAGGCGTTTGCACTTGCACTTCCCAGCAATGTGGTAACGCAGACAAGCATCAGCCCGCCCTGCCAGAGGTGAACACGCAAATTCTGTTTGTTTCTGGCAAGAAAAGCAGAGGGTTTCCTTCTCCCCACTGTTAAAAAATAGTTGAAGTGTAGCAATTGCCAGACTTTTACCACCACACAACACACACATACACACACTCCTGTGTGCACACTGCTTAGAGCACACAAGGACGTAAAGGCCCTTCTAATCTCCTAAAAACTCTTCTGCAGCTGGACCAGTGCCACTGTGGGAAATTGAGGGTTTGTTCCTCACATGATTACAAATCAAGAGGCCCCCAAAATACCACACATTCAGGACCTTCACTGAATGCATTTGGTTACAATATGGGTCATACTGTGTAACACATACAACTACGAGGGCACGTGAAGTGGAAAAAAAAAAAGCCAATGGCTAAAAAATGCTCATCATTACTGGCCAATTCTGCCATCCTGAACATGATCCAATGGAAGCTAGTAGCCTGGATAAGTTAGGTGTCTGCAGCAGCACCCCTCCCTCTGCCCCAACAAAGCCACACACGCCACCAGCTCCCTACAGAGACAGGCCAAGGTTAAGACCCCCAGATGCCATGTGTGAAGATGGAGCGAGCAGAGGCTGCAGCGGGAACGTGGCTTCGCCAAGTCCCAGGCCATGCTACCTGTCGGAGTGAGTCTGAGGAGGGAGAGGCGGGGCGGTTGGAGGAACGGAGACTAAGAGAAAGCTCCCACTGGTCAACAAAAAATCCGCGAGAAGGCTCAGGCTCTGGCTATAAAACAGAAGATAGAGAAAAAAGATCAAAGGAAATGTTACATTGAAAGTCACACCCTGAACGTAAGAAATCTGGCAGTTCAGATTTCTCTACTCTAGACCTTTATCTGAAGAACTCAGGTGGTAAACAAACACTTCTAGTCCCCAGAGGCATAAGTGACTCATGCAACTCAAGCTTTCCCTTTGCTTTCTGCCGACCTTCTCCAGGGCTTACGCTGACGCTCGCTCTGGGACACAGGTCACGCAGCTGTGAAAGCCCTGGCCTCTCCACTTGGTACTCTCACCCCCGACCAAGGGGGTAATGGTGCCAGCAAGGTGCCCATGGTGCCATCCAGGTGACAGTGCTGGCAGAAGCAGGCACTGTGAACACACATGCTCCTTGTCCTCTGCAGAAAGCCCCCTCACTGGCGTGAGCTGCAATTTGTCCTGGGCACGAAGAGGTCCTGCCACCAGCCCAGGGCTCCATCAGCCTTACAAACAGCAGGCAAGAGAGACAGTAAAGCTAGGACCGATCATGCTCTTTCTACATGCTGTCCAGCACTGCGGCACCTCCTCTGGCCATGCCTAGTTCTTGAGAAGCTCTGCTTGCTCAGGAGCTGGCTGACCCCTAAGCGATCATCAGGAGACTACGCTCAATGCCCCTGTATCCTCTACGGATTGCACATAGCTCATGTAGCAAATGTGGGCCGGGGTCTTCCTTAATGGGGGCCCACGCAGCTGGGAACTCCAGTGTCCAGAGATCAAGGTGGCTACAAGCTCTGGCAAGCAATAACTGCTCAGTCTCCCACCAGGTTCAGCGAGGGTATTTCTGGGGTAGGAAGAACAGAGGAACTGTCGGAGTCATGAGAAGCCCTCTGCTCTTCTGGCTCCATGCAGATTCACTGCACCCACTACTCCAGCCGACAGTCACTACGCACCACTGTGGGGGTGACACGGCGAAACGACAGGCACCTGGCGCCTCCAAGCCTCTACCCCCGGTGTTCGGCCAGCGCCCTGCACCCAACCCCTGGGGTGATCGCTGTGGAAGAGCACCACCCACCAGAAGGAATCGAGAGGACCCAGCATCTCGCCGGCTGGTGGGGCTGTCAGAGCGGAGAAGAAAACAGGCCAGGAGCATGCAAGACGGGAGCCGTGGAGGGTCCCTCCAAAGTAACTAGCCTGAGGCTCCGTGCCAAGGAATTCAGAAGCCAGCCACTTTGTTGCCTCCTGAGCTCCAAACTCCACCTATCCCCTCGGCAGTGTATCCCAAGTCTTCAAATTGCTTCTCCGGCTCTCCTTTAACTTAAAATACTTCCCTCCCATCTTCTATAAGTGTTTTATTAAACATCATCAGGACCTTATTACAAGTGCATTTCCTGAAATGTAGGGCACTGCCCTGCTCAATGAAAATGCCTGGTTTTTTAAAAAAGGAGTACAACACAGCCTTGGAAAGAAAGAAGGAAGGGGCCGGGGAACACGCCACGCCTGAGGGAGAAAGCAACCCCAACAGGAGTGAGCACAGTGAGCCGGCCGTGCTGAGGAGCTGGGCAGGCCAGTACCTTGCACCTCGGCCTGCCTCCTCCCCCTAGCCCAGCACCCCAGCGTGGCAGCACACACCTGCTGATAGCTTGGTGAGGGCACACGAAGACAGTGCTAGGATTAGTTTCCTAATGGAGCCGAGAAGCAACTTGATTGAGTGCTGGTGTAACTGTCTACAAGTCATAAACAGCGCTTATGTGAGATATAACTATGTGGGTCTCCTACACATGGTCCACCCATGGGATAGTGCAAAGCTATCCCATGCAGAGATCTTCAAGGGCGCTGATAACAACAAAAATTTCACAGAACAAGCAGACTTCTCTGAGATCTCTGCTACTGAACAAATTATATGATGGCCAACTGCAATCAGTGATTTATCCCCTTAGATTTTCCAGAAAAGACATGCACTCCCATCTTGCCATCACCTTTACACTTGAAAAACCCTCTCCTGGTAAGTGGTGGTGCTCTTCATACTCCTGCTTTGAGACCCATGACTGTTAAATGCCACCTGCTTACTGAAGCTCTTGCTAACAGCGCATGGTGCTCTACCACTAGCACATGTTTCGGGATAGAGACAGGATGGTCTTGGAGTGGGGCAGGTGGACAGAAATGGGAAGTCATTCAGGCCCTCTATGCCACACTGGTGAGCACCCAATCTGAATCCTGGGCAGATGAGTGTTCTACAGTGAATCTATGCGCATGGGCCAACACTGTTAGCAAAAAAAATTCTGGCTCTTGGCTGGGTGACGAGTGCGCAAAAAGCAAGGGGAGAGGGGAGCATCCCCCGGACCCCTTCCTCCGCCCCACCACACAGCGTGCCCCATCCGTTTGGCTCTCGGCCTGCCATGCCACAGGTTCATGCTCCTTTACCCTCTCATGGCGGGGACTCTGCTTGCCACGGGTGTCAGCATCAAGATCCCCGTATCTCTGTTGACAACAAAGCAGAAACTTAAACGCCATCCAGATGCTCTATTTCAACCCACGAAGCAACAGTGGAAAATTCAGGGCCAGAAATCCTTCAGTGAGAAGGCCTTGTGGAGGGGTGGGGCAAGGACAGCATAGGCGGGAAGGAAGGGGCTGGGACACCTTGCCCACCTGGCCACCAATGAGGTCAGCCACACAGATGAACGAAGAGCTGCGGTTAGTTCTAAGGTGGAGCGAACATATTTCTTTCACATAGTGGCATGAGATCAGAGGCATTCAATGGAAGGTTCAGAAGAAGGCTGGTTAGCAGGGTGCAGATTTCCACAGCAAGACATTAGAAAGGGAAGGCGGGGAGATGGAAACTGTCTGTGCGAAACAACCACTGCAACGGCCCAGAGGAAACCGGGAGGGCGGGGGGGCCTGCAGGGAGTGGTTCCTGACTACGAGCACGGCACCAAGGCATAATTTATTGCAGGGAGAACTGGACAAGGACTGAACGAACGTTCAGTGTATGGATATGTGTGAGAAGCTCGGAAACCCACCAGACAAGCCCAGAGCCGCCTTGCTGAGCGGAGGAAACCACCAACCCAGCAATCACAGGAACAGGGAAGGCCTCGCTCAGCACTAGGATAATGAGGGATCGTTCACCTCACGCCACATCCTGGGGAAAAACTGACCCAAAGCCTCTTGTGCGGCTTCCTTTATCCAGTGACCACAAGCGTGCTGTCCCTACAAGCAGGAGGACGCCAGGGCTGCGCTCGTCACATAACCTGGACGCAGTTCTGGTTCCAGAAACTTCCTGTGTGGGCTGGTGCAGGTGACTCGGTCTCTCTACCCTACGCCCCAGGCTCCTCCTCTGCAGAGTGGAGGTAACAGCAGCAGCTGCCTTGGAGTTCTGCGGACTGACTGAGCCGGTACTCAGAAGGGACTTACAGTGCTGAGCGGCAACTGTTCACTCTTTTTTAGAGACAAGGCACACGAGGTAGCTACCACAGCTACTAGGGCTCAGTTCCTAGGCTTGCGGAAACAAACGGGGCCTTTAAAATCAAGACGCACTGCTAGTGGTCACCTTTCACACAGGCTACCTTGATGGACACGCTGCTTCTCCACAGATCCTGCCCCCAAAACTAGTATTGTATAGGGCTATAACACGAAAGTCAACAAAACCATCCCATAAACGCACTGTACACACGTGTGCCCACTGTCCTCAGAGCCGTGTCTGTGGACGCCAGCTCTGGAGAGCAGTTCTTGAGCCATCTGCCTGGAGGGACTGGGGCCGGGGAAAGGCAAGCGCTTGTTGGGTGAAGCTGGGTAAGCGAGAGGCCGGGCTCGCAGAATCAGAAATCAAATTCACACCGTCCCTCTGAAGCCTCCAAATGCTCAGACCTCACTGAACAGCAAGAGAAAAATGGCTCCTTAAATGGTGGGTATTTAGAGAAATGTGCTGCTCTCAAGGGCTTCTGGGCCCTACGTCTGTGACAAACACATTTTACATGTTAGTTTGTAGTCGCCCAGTTAGAGTCCCATGATGGAGTCTGGCTGTACAATGCATTATCCTGGGGTCCAGTCAGCAACTGCTTATTGTAGCGATAAAGGCTGCTTCTGCTACCGATGGGTTTGCTTTACCAGTTATCTTTGCAAAGAGGGGATACGGAGGTTATCTCTGTGCAGACAGGCAGGAAAACAGGACACAGAGCATGCAGAGACGGTCACCTGCTGGCCACTGCGCGCCCGGTTGGGAAGTGGAGTAGGGAGAGGAGACAGTGTGATCACTTTTTTGGGGCAGGTCCGAGAACGTTCCTTTTCTCGTCGCTTTTATACCAACAGACACAAACAGAGAGAACTTTGTTGAAACAGCGGCCCCAGGAAGGGTGGCTCTGGAAAGGCTGAGGGCATTGGCTACAGCACACCTAGGGGCCCTTCCCTGTCAACCCGTCCTCCACAGCACATCGCTGTGCAGAGCGGGTGGCTTGTCAGGCTCCTGTTGGCCCCCAAACAGGACCTTCCAGGCACAAATGGTGCAGGTAACCTAAGTGGCTGGTAAAAATTTGAGGTGTGGCATTTTTTAAATGCCAGGGATCAAGGAATTTAATAATCAAGCTGAAGGACAGAGACATGGGCTTGATTATCACTAGACAGAGAGGCAGGTGGGCCCATTACAGTGACTACCTTCCAATGGCTTAGACACACACACACACACACACACAAACTCACCCCATAGCAGCAAAGCAGCACCCTCCTGAGAGCCAGCTGAGACAACATCCCTCTTCTCAGGTCACTCACTCATACAAGCTCTGGAAAACTACCATGGAAGTACACAAAAGTACACGAGCTAGGATTAAGCATATTTCACTAAAGCCGTATGTATGCCCACCGCTTTTTCCTCCTCCTGCCGTCCATGTATTTATTCCCTGCTTCAGGGCTCCATCTCAGGCTGAGAAAGGCCCTTGCTACTTGAGAAACAATCACACACTACCCCAGGCCTCTCTGATGCCTTCCAGGAAACGCTCAGCTTCCCTGCCCAGCTGGCCACATGCGAGAGCCCGGGAGGAGAAAAGGCTGTGGGATATGCGCCCTACTGTCCCCACCGCAGGTGATAATCAAGGCTGGCCACCCCCAGCGCTTGCCTGCAGCTTGCACCTCTGAGATCAAAAGGTCAAAAGGTGGGGAAGGAAAGAGCCACAGTGCCGACACAGGAAGGTGAAGAGGGAACGTCACTGGTGAGCACAGCCGTTCCCCATTTCCCTTCCTCCACACTGTGACCCGAGTGGAAACCAGTCCCCATGCCAACTGATCCATCCCTGCTGTCTGCCACACCCTCCTCCTAGGAACCACTTCAAAAGAAACTCAGAGAGCGCCACATGTGGTGCTGCCAGCGAGCCCACTCCTAAAGGGAGACGAGAGGCCGCTGGCAGGCAAGTCAGGAGTATTCTGTCCCCGGGTATCTGTAGCACCCAGCACCACATTTACCTCCAGCTTCTAGGAGATGAATCTAGAGGGCCAAGGCTCATAAGCTAATGCTGAATAGTGCACGTGAATACTGCACATCTCACATGGATGTAAGAACTGTGAGATGTAACTCTTCACACTGCCACCTCCGCATCCACGTAATCACAATTCCCGACTATACAACCCAAAGCTGGCAAGAATCTAAAAGGGGTTCACTGCCTGTGGGTTCTGTCTCCCCAGCTGCGCTTTCGCATTCTCTGGTACTCCTTTCACAGAACCTGGCCAACTTCAAAGGTTCCAATCTGCTGCCCAGACCGCCTAGCAGTGTTCCACTTCATTGGCTGTGACCACAAATGACCCGGATGTCAAGCTGGACAGGATGGGAAGAACAACAGTCTCCACACAGAAGACTGCACAAGACTAGAGGCAGTCAGATGCTTCGTAAGCAGCCCCAAAGATCGAGCTTCCAAGGTCCCTCCAGCACAACTCTGTCAAACGACCAGCTGACAGGTCAGTCCTCAGCAGGACAGAGGCCACGGCTCAGCCAGGCTCTTAGAGCCTCACTCACCACCCCGCCCTTTCCAGCACGCCCACCAAAGCCGCACCAGGCACACGCCACACTCATCTGCCCGCCTTCCCGCACAGATTACTGCCGACCTCCCTCCCATATTGCTCCGATTCAGCCACTTTTAGTTAGTTACTTTTCAGCCACCACTAAAGAAAGTACGGATGTGGTGTTTCTGGAACCTGGTTTACAGTTCCTCAACAGATCCTCCACGGAACATCAACTGCAGGTGACCTCTCAAGCCTTACCTCCTACCCAGACTTCAAAGCCACAGACAAGAACATAAAAATGCAAGTACATTTTTGACAGAAGTTTTTCAGAAGCCTTCCCTCAGGCACACAGAGAAGGCTGCTTGGCTTCTGTTGAGAGTTTGGACACCGTTTCAAGATCCCATCTCGGTCTTCGAGGCCATGACTTTCACAGGGCACATTTATCACAAGGCTAGAATGGAACGTCCTTCCCAGGATGCAATTTAAATAAAGCCCTACTCTCCACTCCGCAGTGCTCCCAGCAACGGGCCGCTCTACACAGGAGGTTGCTGCGGCCAACTGTGCAGGAGATAATGCAGACCCGGGCCAGCGCAGCGGACCTCTCAGCTTCCTGGAGTCCTAAATGAGATCAAACTATGAGACAGCTAATTCAGGCTCCCTAGAGCAGGAGCTTGCTCAACTGTAATGTGGGAGAAAAAACAGCTGAGGCCTCCATCTCTATTATATAAAACAGGTGCCCTTTCCTATGCTATTAGGATAAGCAGTTTTAGTGAAATCCCAATTAATTAATTCATTTGTGAGACAAGGTCTCACTAGGCAGCCCAGGCTGGCCTTGAGTTCCTGGGCCCAAGCAACCCTCTTGCCTCAGCCTTCCAAGTAGCTGGGCCCACAGGTGTTTAACACCACCTCTGGGAAAAAGCTTTTTCAATACGCCTCCCCTCCCCGACCCCAGCCCATGAATACCTTCGTTTGAAACAAACATCATAGTTCAAGACTAATTTCTCAGGTAAGATTTTCCCACTTCATTTGAGAGGCTCTACTGTCTCAGTCATGATGAAGCCAGAGCTCTCCCTCCATGGTCAGGAGGCGGGCGACCTGCTACCAAAAAGCCAACTAGAGACAGATGTCATGGTAGCAAATCCCCAGTAGCTAAGGAGACCTACATAACTCAGCGACATCAGCTAGTTTTAACGCCAAGTCAACAGTCTGCCCTTTTAACTGGTTTCTCCAGTCCCCTAGAGTTCATGGAACCAGTGTCGTCTGCTAAGTGTTTCCCCTGCTCCTTCAGGTAGCACAGAGCTCACCTGCCCTGGTGAGCCAGGACCCTCACGTGCGGGCCTGACCGGGGCCGCCCCAAAGGCAGGAGTGCAGTGGCAGGCCCAGCACGGGAGCCCAGCCTGGTCCCTGGCAGCTATAGGTCCTTTACCTGTTTCCACTGGGGGACGGGAGCAAGGCGGCCCTGCTCAGGCAGGCGGCAGGACGGCTGGCTGACCCCACGCTCTTGTGTCGGCTGTGACACACAGGCCAAGTGTGGGTGGGGGCAGAACATAGAGACAAAACAAAACAAAATACGTTACGATAAAAGATACAAAATAGTACTCATGGAGGGCAGACACGCAGCTACGAACTGTGAGGGGTGTGTGTGTGGGGGGTTAGAATCAATTCTTAGAAAGTTACACTCAGAAAGAAAATACCCCATCTCCAAACCCAAAAAGAAAACAAAGGAAAACAGAAGCTGTGATTCTCATTACCCTTTTCCCAAATTTGATGCTCTGACTCTGACTTCACTAATTCTGACTTGGAAAACCAATCTTTTCTCCCAAGCGAGAGAAGCAATGTCTCTTAGCGGCCTCCTTGAGGTGGGAGGACCCCGGCTGCCAGAGCTCCAGGCGACCTCTACTGCTTTCCACCAACCACTGCCAGTGTTCCTGCGAGCCACAGAGCGGAGAGACTGGAGCGCAAACGCCCGTTACTAAAGACTCGGGGAGAAGTCAGACCGCAGGCAGACTCCAAGCAGAGTGGTGCCATGTGACTGGTCCACAGGGACAGCAGCTGATGACGATGAGGAGAACAAATGAAGGGAAGGCGTCTGCTGGCCTCTGGACGCTCTTCTAGGTCGTCAGGGAGCTTTATTAGAAAATTCCAGTGTGAATCTCAAACTCCCAGCCCCTCCTCTAGTAAGAAGTCTAGTGACTTGTACACGAGCAAGAGAGAAGCAAGACCTAACGAGGGCACCTTGGGTCGAATGCTGTCTGGCACTGACTGGCATGCATGACTTACAGGGTGCAATTCAGTATCTAAAATGTTCACATTCCTAGTAGTATTCTAGGAAAATAATCTGCAACACACAAAAGCAGCTTTGTCCTAGAAGGTTCACCTCCGATCCTTATCATGAAAGATGAGAAACAACTAAAACATCCAACGCTAGAGCAATGGTTAAGAAGAGTGTGGTACCAACACATCTTAGAAGATGCTTACAGAGTTTGGAACAACATGGGATGAGCCTAAAGGTAAATGAGAACAGCAGAACAGAAAAGTATGTAAGCCGGGCGTGGTGGTGCACGCCTGTAATCCCAGCACTGGGGAGGCTGAGGCAGGAGGATCGTTGTGAGTTTGAGACCAGCCTGGGCTACAAAATGAGCTTAAGACCAGCCTGAACTGCAGAGCGAGACAGTCTCAAAAAGACAAAAAAAAAAAAGAAAGAAAAGTATGTAAGTACCTTCATTCCCTTTACTCTACTTTCAGTATGAGTGTGGTGAACTTCACGTATGTATAAACACATAACTATACATTTTTGCATCCCCATGCTGCTTTTGGTCACAGATGCCTTAGAACTGAGTGCTGAGGATAAAGCAACCCTGAAATCTACAATGAACTTAGGAAATGTTCATCTCTCACAGCCAGATGAAGGAAAACGAGATCTTGAGTCTCTGGGGTCCAGGGTCTGTCACAAGGCCCATCTCACTGCACTGAAAAGATCTTCCTTCCTGTATGGCCCGGCCAACAGGGTGGGCGAATGGGAAGTGGGCCTACCTGCCTCCTTATGCCAGTGGACTGGGCAGGGGCATTCTCTTCGAATTTGGCCAGTAGCTGGGTTGCCATGTACTTCACTTTGTTTTGGTTCCCGACGGCAACATCCATCCTCCTGTCCGTCAGAGTGCTCACCAGCGTTGGTCTTTCTCCTCTGTAGGCCCTGGAACCCTCCTCCTGCTCAACAGCAAGCACCGAGACAGACTCTGTTAGCAGGGTCCCACCTATTTGCTATTACCCCCAAGCAGTGTGGCCAGGGTCTGCACAGGGGCTTGGGCTGGCTAGCAGTTTTTGAGGTGCTAATCTCAACAGCCAGCAAGAGCAGGGCACGCTGCGCAGTACCACTACTCAGACTTGTGTTGGTACCGTCATCTCCCAAGAAGGCCGCTGTGCCTCGTCAAATGTGACTCCAAAGACCAGCAGGCCTGAGAGCACGTGTGTGCCTATCTCCTCGGTGCTCTCCAAATAATTAAAGACAAAAGCCAACACAAAGCCCGTGGATACCCTCATAAAGAACGGCCATGCAAAGATCCAGAGGACCAATTTGGGAGTCAAGAATTTCTAGCATAACTGTTCCAGCAAATCTTGGAAGAGGCTCACCTCCTCTGACTGACTAGTCTTTCTCCTCTTTCCAGCTCCGTCCAAGTCCTTTTCCTTCTTATCCTGTACCAGAAGAGAAGGGAACTGCATTAGTCCGGGTACCCGCCTTGCTACCAGCTCTACAGCTGCAGTGTAACAACCCCTGCACGCACGTACCTTGGGAGAACGCTTCCGAGAAATGGTCTGCCCGAGCTTGCTCAGGAAGGAGATGGGGGACTTGGTGCTGGCAATCAAGACTGCTTTCTCCTCAGCGTTCAGGTCCAAGGTGTCTGGGAACAGAAGTCAGCAATGTTCAAGGACACTCCCGGAGGGAGGCACCAAGTTCTAAGCAGAGTCCCGCTCCCCTACAGGGTGCTCGCAGGAGGGAACTTTCCCGCAGGGCGCTCTAAAGGTGCATCGGCTATGACAAAGCACGCAAGTCTCTGCAGGAAACGCCGCAAAGGCAACGCACACTTGGGCGTGCACACTGAGCCTTCTCTTTTCCATCCACACAGACAAAACCAACTCTCTGTCAAAATCTACTTCGGTTATAAAACCTGCACTTGTGCTCTGCAAAAGGCTCGAATCTGCCTGTCATCATCACAGCAGAGGGGGAAGCCTCACCCTGGTGATGAAAATTTCAGGATGGACAGGAAAAGGGGAGAGGAGAGCAGAGAGGAGTGTAACTCAGGGCCACCGCTTCTGGCGGGGGCAGAGACCAGGCTCGCTGCTGCACAGGAAGGGCGCTCTCCCTGAAAGGTAAGCTCACCAGAGCAGTGCACTGTGTGGTAAGAACTGCCTATGCAATCAGGAAAAGCCACAGGTGCCTAGAAGTGCTCGTGGGCTAGGAGGTGCTGGGGGCTGGCACCTTATTCTAGGGATTGCAAGGTTTTATTAGCTACTCAGTAATTAATTAGTAAAATAGTAAAATTATTAATAAAAATTAGTGAAATAGCAATTGAAGCTTATCAAGAATATTGCTAACATTAAATGTTCACATTTGTCAAATACCCTTCTTAGCATTTCACAATGTAACTATGAAAAAAAAATATATATCCATTTTACATACGAGGGAACTGAGGCAAAGGAAAATTTAGTAAGTTGCCTCAGGTCCAATGTGGAAGTTTTGGGATGTAAATAGGGTAGATATCATGGGTGAAAACTCTTAAGCATTTTATTACATTTACTTCTAGGGATAATAAACGACAACAGGAATAGTTAGTGCTTTGACAGACGGAGGAAGCAGGCGCAGGGCCGGTAAGAGATTTTTGGGAAACCCTAAGGGGTAGGAATAGAAAGACGAGCCAGAGAAGGACAGCGGCAGAAGAAAGGAGAATAAACCTAGCAAGGGACAGGGTCACAGAAGCCGAGGGCAGAATCCCACGGAAGAGGACCGCGTTCCACAGTGCTAAATAATGTGGAAAAGCCAAGAGCGTGACTGATGAAAAATCAGAGAGGAATATGGGCATTTTGATTCTTCGTAACTGTGGGGAACAGCGCTGGGCGGACAGAGCCAAAAGGTGGTGCATTATGAAATGTTCCAGTTTAGGTGCAGAGCACATGGAGGCCACAAATGTGACCCATTTCTTCTGAAAGACTGGTTCTGAGAGAATGGGTAGGAGAAGTCAGGAAAGTCATAGAACCAAAGTGTACACAGAGGCCTGGGGACGAAGCTCTGTGGTAGAGTGCTTGCCAGGCCCTGGGTTCCACTCTCAGCACTGAAAAAAAAAAAAAAAAATTGGAAAAAAAAAAAAAAAAAAAATTGGACAGGAATGATTTTTGCATATTTATAGGTTAAGTGAAAAAGTTGAAAAGAGTGAGTGGTTGAGAATATACTACTAAAGAAGGGAAACACGGAAGGAGGCTTCCAGAGACTTCCTCTAATGGCCAACCAGTAAAAACAGTAAGCCTGAGCTTGGTGGCACTGCATTTAAAAGGACGCAGCTGGAAGGAAAGAAAAGCCAGGCGACCACTCGGCAGGAAACGGAGGTCCTTACCGCTGGAGGACAGCGAGTCCTTAAACATCTCGTAGAACTGAGTCAGGTACATCACCATGGACAGCTTGTCAGGCTCCCCCACCGAGGCCATGTCTTTGCCTGTCATGATGGGAGAAATGCCCAGCTCCTTCTCAGCAATATCAAAGGCCAGCTGGTTATTCTTCTCCACATTTTGCTCATCCAAAGAATCAAAATCTCTGAGAAACAGGATATGCGAAATTGATCACGTTGGGCTGACTCTCCTCAAACCAGAAAACACAGTTATCCTGAAGTTACTGTCATTTCTCATCTGTCTTTTGGCTCAACTCCAGTGAGCAGTGCACCGCTGGAATCTGAGAACAAATCTGTTACTACTATTCTCCTTCCATTTACTCAGGAAATGCAATGCAGCCTCAAGAAATGATGACAAATCGACCCAATAAAGGAAAAATGACGGGAAAAGTTGACGACTTCCCTTATTCTTCCCGTAACATGAAGTTCTTAATGAAGTGTACGCTCGAGACAGGAAGCATCTTCCCTATGTGTTCTCTCGCACTGTGTGTCCATGAGTATTAAACAAATGTCAGACAGTGAGGAGAAGGCTGCCCGGCTCAGATGCTCCTAAAGCCTGGGGTAATCACCTGCCTGGGACTCACCCACCGGCAGGACAAGCTGCTCACGTCCTAAATCAGCTCTGGTAAACCTTACTCCACCTCCTGTGGGGAAATTCCAAAAACTCTACATAAGGTTTTCCCAAAGCTAAATTTCCTGGATTTTCCCAAGTACATAGTTTCACCAAACATTTCCCACTGGGTCTTCAGCTTCTTGTTATTCAGAGTAAGGACTGATGGCATTCTTCTTGGGAGAAGTCAGATCAACTCAACAGCCCTCATTTTATGTTAACCGGCCTCCATGGCACTTTTCCATTGCCTATGAAAGCATGGACACTAATCCTGAATGAGGTCATTGTAGTCTAAACAGTGCCAAATTCTATATGCAAATACCTACGGAAATACTACACATTAAAACAATTTTTTTCCTCAAGCTGCTTTCCCTCCCCACTCCCTTGCTTTGGCGGGACTAAATAAGTATTATTTTCATTTAGTTTTTACCAACTTGATGAGCTAAGTGACAGGAGTGTTGGAGGCCACTTACTTTTAACTATGCACATCAGCGGTCTCCCTCCCCTTTTCTGGGCAGTGCTAGGTATAGAACTCAAACCCTGAGGCTTGCCGGTAAGTGCCCTCCCACCGAGCCCAGTCCTGCCCATCTAATCCCCTCTGTACAAGCTGTTTCTAATAGGTCTTGGCTCATTAGCCCATTATGGTCACATAAATAGGGACCACCTCTTTTAGGATTTCTTAAGCTAGCATTAAAACCAAATAACCCAAAAACTGGGCCCTTAAGTGAATAGTGATAAGTGATAAGAAGGACAGGCAGTCCGAGTAACCTGACATGCTTTGGCTTCTCAATCTTTCTGTTTGGCTTTCGTGGTAACAAACTCCTATAGGAGCAAACTGAGTGCACTGGTCATTGCAGCAGACCTGGGGTCATCCTAGTGCCCTCATTTCGCAGACAGGTGACTGAAGAACAGACAGAAGAGACGTTCCAGGTACAGTGGTAAGATGACATGAACTTCATGAACTTAACAGAACATGTTGGCAAGAAGTGCACTCTTTTTTTTTTTTTTTTGGTTTTTCTCCGGTACCGGGAACCGAACTCACGACCTTGCGCTTGCCGGGCAGGCGCTTTTGCCGCTGAGCTAAATCCCCAGCCCAAGAAGTGCAGTCTTTAACAAAGAAAATAATAACGAGCAATCACAAACCAGGTGAGCATTCACTGTTCGCTGCTGCATCGGTAGTGACATATTTGTCTCGAGCTAGCCAAATGTTTCAGCCAGGTTTCCCTTGTGACCACCAACAGCATTTGAGAGATAGCTGGCCAAAATGAAGAGTTCAACTCGGGGCCAATATACAGAGTTTTCCTTTGTGTGAAGTTAACAGGCCCAGTTTTTGACCCTGTGAGTGCTGTGATTTTTTAAAACTTAGCTAATCATTCCTGAGTGGGGTCCTCTAATGTTTGATATATGAGTTCTAAATGTAAATAAGTCAACATACTGGCTTTCTGGAGAAAGCACCTTACTACGTACCCTATTCTGGGAAAAAGAACAAAATCTGCTGACTTGATAGCAGGGTGCTTTGAGGTCCTTGGGAGAGATGAAATGAAAGACAAAGTTTAGTCATGACTTACATCAGGTCAGGGCGGTATCTGTGGATAATTGCACATAGAGCCAGGCCACTTTTCCAAGACATGGTAAGGTCTGTCACGTTTACTCCTGCATAACCATCTGTCTGCCTTTGGCACCAACCCAGCAGTTTGCTTGAACGAGCTACAGACTCTAAAACAACAAGAACAATTATTGTCGGAACTGTGTTTACCTACTAAGGTCGATACAAGATCCTCTTGGAAGGATACACAACCCGTTTGAAAAATTACTGAAGGTAGGGACGAAAGAGCGATTACCAGCTTTCAAAATAAAATGGTGATGAATAAGGTTGTGTACCTGGTATTCTGATGGTTGAATTTTAGGTACCAATTTATAGAGATTCTAAGGTCCATCCCCTGAACAGACTGGTGTCCCACAACTGAGTGACGTGGACTTGCTCAGACTGAAGCCCTGTGTCCCTGCCCTGCTCCTGGACGCTGTGGAGATGGAGCAGTGCCACCTACTGAGCTGTCTCCCTCACTATAACGACTAGGATTTCCCCAGAGAGCGGCTCAGCAAGTGCCTGAGGAAGCATTTTCCTCCCAAGTAACACCGGGAAGATTAGATTAGAAAAGGTTCCATTCTACCACGCAGCCATTCTATCTAGCAGCATCTCACACTGAAAGCGAACAAAGCCAAGCTCTCACACTTTCCAGGGAACCAAGCAATTTTCAAGTGAGGAAACTGCAGGTTACGCTGACCAGGCGATGAACCCCAGACCAGAACAATCCCCCGCCCCAGCTGGCACGCTGTATTATAAACGATCAGATCGTAAGAAACCAAATATATCCTTAGCGTCTTCTAGAACCAAACAGCCCTGCATCAGAGGAGCTCTGATACGGATCACTGAAGACAATCTGTGAATTTCTACTTGTATCCAAGAAAGTCTGTTTCCTTTCCTCAGGCAGCCAAAAATACTTAGTTTTGCACTAAGTCACATTCAGTGATTTGTGAAGGTAAGACAAAAAGTGCACATCGTAAAAGCCTGTTTATGTCTTTCCCTGTGGAAATGTGCTCTGAGACTACAATCGGAACACCCCCCCATGCCATCTCCTGGCTCAGATGCTAACTTCACTCGGCTGCTTCCCAGGCCTGGACAGCCATCCATCCAGTGTGTACCAGGCAGCTTCAGTGTTTCAGCTCCAAACTAATGACAGTGAACAAAGATAAATTCTCCAGTTTCAAGGAGATGACACGCTAGAGGGAAAAGATGAAAACGTTTCCAACTGCCCGCTGACTCTCATCCACCTTGACATCCCAAAGGCGTATCAAATTTAAAATGTCCGAAATGGGACCCACACCCTCAGCCTCTTACTTTCTTGTTTAGACCAACCACAACTATCTGTCTCTTGACCAGAAGGCAATCAACTGCCAATGCCTCTCAATTCTTTTTTTTTTTTTGGTTTTTCTCCGGTACCGGGAACCGAACTCATGACCTTACGCTTGCCAGGCAGGCGCTTTGCCGCTGAGCTAAATCCCCGGCCCCGCAATTCTGACTTTTAATATTCTCTCTCACACAGTAACGTCAGTGACAAAATCGCTGCTGACGCTGACAGCCCACTAGAGGCCGGGCATGGTGATCAGTGCCACAGACATGTCACAGAACCCTCACGATCACAGTGTGGGCGAGGTGCTGTCGCTCTCATTTCAAAGATGAGGGAACCGAAGGTCAGGGATGTTAACTAACAAGGAGCCTGAAATTCAGACGTCTGTATGTACTTTCCAAATGGCGAAGCTCGGGTTGGGATCCAGTCGCATCTGGCCCTAAAGTCTGAGTCCCTCTGTGACTCACTACCTCCTCCCTTCTCTCACCAGCTCAGGATAAGAGTAAGGCCTTTACCACCTGTAGTCTGACTACTGCGGCATATTTCTAACTACTCTCCCTCCCTCTGGCACCTTTCCCTTCTCCAGTCCAACCCTGTGTAGCTAAGCAGGTATACTCAATGTCACTCTCAAAAAACATCTTCAGGGGCCCTTATATACACACACAAACTATGGAATGGCCTGTACGTTTACCACAGTATAAAGGCAGTGTCTCAGGACCCAAATAAACGCCACACAAATTCTACAAAGTCTTCCTCGCAAACCGTAAGCGCGTGTGTGGGTACACATGTCCTCTGGAGCTCATGTTCGTATTCTTTCTCTGTCTCCAGCATCTGTATCCACCTTATCTCTTTATCCTCACAACCAACATAACTGTTCCTTGTGCAGTCCTGTCTTGGGCACTGTGAGAGGTTTAGTAACATGCCTAGATTATCCGCTAGATGACAGTGGCAAGCTCCCCGAGTCACGACAATCAGGAACTTCCCCAGAACAACCTAGAAGGCCAACCACCCCGGCCTGAGAACCACTGCCTTCGGACAGTGCTAGGCAAGTGTGCTGTGCAGACCTCTCTCGACAGGGTGCCTGCCTCTCGGAAGGCCACTACCAGAACTCACCGTTGCGGGTCAGTTTGGGGGTAGTTCGGGAGTTCACTAGGTTCTCCATTTCCAGATGAATATCCTTTGTTTCTCCGGTATCATATAAATGGCGCACCTGGAAGAAAGTTGAAAAGCTGAAAGGAAGGAAAATCAAGCGCTAAGGTACAAATTCCTGCCTAAAAGGAGGATGGCTCAGATGAAGGGCTGGGAAAGCAGGTTGGGTAAAGTCTGTTTGCGTCTTCTGTGGTGCTGGGTGGGGGACGGCGTCGAAACAATGAACTTAGCCTGCTCTCTACCACTGAGCTACACAGCCAGCCCCACAGCAGGGCTTACTCAGAAGCCGTAACGGTGACCTTTAATACGTCCCTGCTGGCTTGAACCATGTGGGGAATATGCATGATTGTCCCACTGGGCAGTTTCAACCGATGGGACTGTCCCGTGCTGCCTGATGGGACAGTCATGCATGGCTCAAGCTGGGGAGGTCGTTCAAATCACAGCTGATCAGCAGCAGGACATACGAATTATACCCCCTTGATGAAGGGGTTAAGTCCTTTATGAAACGAGGTACGGTATATGCAAACAAATGCATACTAACTACACGGTTGTGCTTAAAACTAAGTACTCAAAAAAAAAAACAAAAAACAAAAAACTATGTACTCAGCCATGGAGGGCCTTCTGGATACTCTCTGTTGGATAATTAAGGCTGCCTATTAGCAACAGATTTTATAAACATAAACACAGAAGCCAAAAGGGTTAAACTTCAGGTAGAAGGCAAATGAAACATTACTCTAGAACACAACCAAATATATCAAATATGCTGCTTTCTACAAGCTGTTGTAGCTGCACATGGTGGCACACACCTGTAATCCCAGCACTTGGGAGGCTGAGGCAGGAGGATTGCTGCAAGTTCGAGGCTGGCCTGGGCCACAAAATGAGGTCAAAGCCAGCCTGAACTGCATAGCAAAACCCTATCTCCAAAAGAAAAAAAAAAGAAAAAGAAAAAAAAAGCTGTTTTATTCTTTGGGATTATTCTTTGTAAGATTTCATTACCAATAGTGTAAGGAGGCTTCAGAGATTCTGAGACACAACTCGATGAAACAACAATAAAAAAATCAGCTTTTACTTGTAGAGAGCATCTTATCTTTCAAAGTTCCTTCAAGTGAACAATTTTACTCTCACGATGGTGTGAGCAGGTGAGGATTAATACCTCCATCTGTCAGTGAAAAATTGGGGCTCAGAGGCTGTAAAATGACCCGAGTCACAGGTGATTGTGGCAGTAACACAGCAGAAATCACATTTCCGGGCTGCTGAACTATCACCTTTTCTTCTACTATGCACGACTTAAGTTAGAAGGCCTAGAGTGAAGCCCTGGGTCCAAGGTTTTTGTGTGATGATCTACAAGTCATTCACAACTCTGTGCCTCAGCCATGTGTTGAGGGAAAGTAACACCCACTTCTACCAATCCATCTGAGATTACTAAAGGTGTCAACAATGAGTAATAGCAACACAGTTGTACATCAGAGTTCTGATCAGTACTGACATAGGACCCATACACACATAACCGATGAGTAGGCTCTTACCTGGCCTGGCCGAAGGAAGTTGACGTTAATATTGGGATACCTAGTGACAGGGTTGATGCTGTATTGGCTGAAATTTTTGCTCACATTCTCAGGGGTAGTCTGAGGCAGCAACCTGTAAATGCTTTCCCTGCAAAAAATATCCACAGTCCACTCAGAGCAGTGATAAGCACCATAAATACTCCCTCTCTTTATGTAAGACTTCTGTTTTGACAGCCTACCAAATTATCTGAACAACAGGACAAATCTTCAGCCTTGACACATTTCCTCTACTCCTACATCTGCCCCCCACCCCCCC